AAAAAAAAAAAAAAAAAAAAAAAAAAAAAAAAAAAAAAAAGAAGAAGAAGAAGAAGAAGAAGAAGAGAAGATCGGCATGACCCCTGCACGAGACGTGACACCTGCATGAGATGGAAATCTGCTTTCACAAAACCACTACCGTCTTAACATGAAAACAAGGTATGTACGATCTACCTTGTATTCAAGTTACCTCCGAAAAAACGTGTTCTAAGAAATCGCTGTTAAATTGCCGAATAAAAGGTACCCTCGAATACAAGGTACGTACCTTGTATTGGAGGTGTGCCTTCTCTCTCTCTCTCTCTCTCTCTCTCTCTCTCTCTCTCTCTCTCTCTCTCTCTCTGTGTGTGTGTGTGTGTGTGTGGCGTGCGCTGTCCACGCACACACCTGCTTCCACAAACGGGTGCTGTGATGTCTCTCTCTCTCTCTCTCACACACACACACACACTCAAACACACGTAATGTTTGAATGCATGTCGGATCGTGAGCACGCAGCGCAATCAATGTGTTCTTAAACAAAAAAAAAACAAAAAAAAACAAAAACTTCACGCTGCAGGGGTCTGTCGGGTTTTGAACCCCGGAACTCCATATTGTAGTTTTGAGACCAGAGTTCCATCCGGTTTTGAACTTTGGACTGTTATATTGCAGAGTAGTCATAGGAAGAGCTCCATCTGGTTTTGAACTTTGGACCGTTACATTGCAGAGTAGTCATAGGAAGAAGGCTTTCTATTTTGTTTTGTTTGTTTTTTCTTTTCCTTTTGTTTGTCTTTCTTTGTTTTGACGATTTTTTGGTTGTGTCAGGAGGAACGTAGTGCCTTCGGGATTCTCGGGAATCTTCTGGGTCTCATACGGACTGTGGTACTAAGCCATGTTCACCGCACTGCAGTAGGCTCGGTACCTTTGGGACTGGTTACCGGCCTCCCGTTGTATTGCTTTGTAGTCCGGACTCACTGTGACGGAGGCTACTATGCGACTATATTAGGCTCGATTGCGTGTCTTTCGGCCTTTTTTGCGGGACCGACGCTGGCAATCACTGACGTTTTTTCGGAGAACGTGAGTTGGTTAAAAAAGCGGAGGAGGGTTAGTGGAAGAACGGTAGAGGTGAAGGGTGAGGCACGGTGGACGAACCCCCTGAGGATGACCGCGTGGCTGCGGGCGAAACCGGTCGGGGAGCCAGATCCCAACCGGCATGCAATCTGTTATCTGTGTGCATGTGTACTTATGTACCTTGTACGTGAATATACATGAGCATTTTGAAACTGTCTTTGGATGCTGTATTGATCTGCTTTTGTACGTCTCTCATCTAATCAGTAATCTTCACGCTGCAGCCCCGTCTTGATAGCAGTCGATTGTGTTCTATTCGTGATATTATTAGTATTTAATATTTGTTACTAATATTTAGTATTTACCTAGGTCTACCAGCCGGGCTGCCCGGGTCACCCTATTTTCCCGGACGGCCCGGCCGTGCAAGGACCAGCGAAGGTCCTAGCAAAAAAAAAAACGAAAACAAACTATGTTATGCAGAAAAATAGACTGAACAACTTTTGCCTCAGGGTCACGTCGAAATTCTTTACCAAATTTAAAATAAAAAATAAAGTTAAAAAATAAATTTTATTTTTATTTTCTTATAGTGGCCCCGGGCCACTCTGGTAGCCTAGGTATTTACTACATACTTTTTTCTTTTTCTTTTTTTCTTTTTTTTCCCCTTGTCTAGGAAAGTCGCATCCTAAAACTCGTTCTACAAGGTACGTATCTTGTACTCGTATACAAGGTACCCCGTATCTTGTATTCGTATACAAGGTACGTACCTTGTTTTCGGGTTAAGACGGCAGTACCTTTGCCGCGTGGGAAAATATTTGGGCCTCGGGTGGGACTCCGACCTTTTCGGAGGCCAAAACAAAACGACGGCCGCCGATCAGATTTATCAATCGCAGCCATCGTCGGGGCCGGCCTCTGGATTCGTAGGATTTTGGGGAAGCTGCCACTTTCCCTATTTTCCCAACTCTGGCGGAGGCACTGGTGGTTTAACGCAAAACATATCGCCGCCTCGCTTGGGTAAGAAAGGGAATTCTGAATTTTCACAATACCAGACCCACGCAACCCAACCGCAGTTTTTCTTGTTGCTTTGTCAATGATATATTTTGATCGTCTGGTTATAGCTTTGGCATCAACCATGCAACCCAACTGCGACCAAATGAAAAGAAATCAGGAAGAACGTAAGGGCGAGTTGGGCGAAGCCTCGAACATAGCGGAGAAACTAGATGAAATGCAGGCGGCAATCCCGCTAACGTGGGTTGGGGTGCTGAAAAAGGGCCCCACAGTGCAAAAATCTGGATGGGTAGCAGACCTACCTATCCCGCGGACAGTCTACCGAGTGGAGAAGGTGTCCAATGCAATGGCTACGATCCACGCATACACCCAGAAGAGTGGAAGACCTTTAAAAAAAAAAAAACAAAAAAAACTCAGGTGATGGATGGTCCAAACTCAGAAAAGTGGAAGACCTTTAAAAAAAAAAAAAAACCGTGCTAGTGGCACTCGTAAGAGCAGTCACTACTACCGTCTTCCCCCGAACACAAGGCACCCTCATTTTGGCTGCATATGGCCGGAAATATAACTTGGTATACATTCATTTCAAGGGTGCGTAATGTTCGGGGGAAGACGGTAGCACTGGGCGGGAGGCTCCATCTATTGGAGGGGAGCATCACCTGCTGGAAACCGAGTCCAGCGTCCCATACACAGAATGGTACAGAAAAATGTTTCCGGAAAGTATCTGAGAAATGGATGCCAGGTCGTTCGGGACATCCGTTAAAATTCGCACGCATACAGAGAAGATTAGTATGGCCCCTGCACAAGGATGAAGAGCGCAGCGAAATGTGATACTCAATGTGAATTGCCGATATCGGTGAGCCATCGATACCTCGAACGCACGTGGCGCCCAAGGCTTCTGCCGAGAGCATGCCCGCCTAAATTAAAAAAGGAAGAAAGAAAAAAAAGAGCTTGTCTGCGGACAGCATTGATTGCTCTGGACTCCAGAGGATCGAGGTCCCACTAGCAAAATGGATAGGATCGAGCTGCGGAATCTGGATGTGTTTCAAGCACAGATGCAGAAAAGCAGTTCAATCTCGATTGCCCGCACATGTCCATAAACTCATCCAGATTCAGGCATTCGATCCGATCCTCTTTGCTAGTGGGACCAACGCACAGAGGATCGACTGTATAGCAGGCTTTATGAGAGGGCAAGAGCTTGATGTCTAGCTGGCGAAGGAGTCATTTGGGGGGGGGCGGACAATCGGATCGGTGGAGGGTCTCATATCAATCACCAGATTCACCTCTCCTATCGGAGAAAACGGATCGTACGCCTATGAGCCAAGTATATCCCCATCAGTCGACGGATCATTGATCCTTTGTATGTGATTGGGAGAGGGGTGGTAATCACCGAAAATGATGAATTGGCAGTACGTGGTCGAGGGCGGGTACCGGGCTGCAAGGGTCCCTCCGCAGCTGAACGTTGGGTGTGACTCCAACGTACTCGGCCCGCAATCATGGGAAAACTGTGGCCGTGGCACACTTTTAAACCACCAGTACTTGGCCCAGCTATCGTTGCCGAGTCTGGAATCCCCCTGCGCGCCAATTTTTGCCGAACTGCCAGGGTACCGTTTCGATTTTTTTTGGCTGGTGCTTCCAGCCATTGAGCTCCGGTACCCCGAAGCCCGAACTTTGCGTAGCGTTAACCGCAACGGCCCCCGGCCGATGTATGGGCCAAGTACTGATTGTTTAATATTTGAAATAGGCAAAAAAAGACAAAAGTGGCACCGATGTCATGATGTGAGTTTGGAAATGTGGTACACTTTTAGCGGGGGTCCGACTTTTAGCGGGGGGTTCGAAACTGCACAAGTCGTTACCCCCAGTGGCGCTTGGCAGATTTAGGGTTGGGCCCGTCTGCACCTTTTTTTTTTTGCCTCCATAATTTTGGGAACTGCTAAAGTCGCTTATTCCGAACATCGGATGCAACTCCAATGTACTCGCGCCTAAAATCCTTAAGATATGGGGGAGGAGAGACTCTCCCCTCGGAGAGGCAGACGTCCATTACTTCTCCTGGTTGCAGTAGGCACACATCCGCGCCAACCCATCACAGCCCCCCCCCTTTAATGGCAGATTCTCCGCCGATGTTCACCAACGGACACCTGACTACCGTCTTCCCCCAAACATAACACACCCTGAAAATGAACTTATAAAAGGTATGTTTCCAGCCTGATACAGTCAAAATGAGGGTGCGTTGTGTTCGGGGGAAGACGGTAGCTGGTGTCCACAACTAACCTGGGA